TCAAATCAGAAACACAGTCCAGAGCTATTTATGCAAATTTCATGAGCATGATTTGCATTTTTTCTGGACTTTAGGAAAGAAATAGCATGTTTTTACAGCATTTAGTTTTCTGCTCCCTTAAAAAATCAGTTCATACTGCTTATGCAGGGGATTTTGGTAATCCTTCTTACCAAAAATTATTGTACCTATCATTGCATGTTGAATAGGCCAGTAGTAACCTGTAATTTTGTTGTACTCCTTGTAATAGAACTTATGTTTTAATAACATTTGCAGGCGGCGTGGAACATATTGCAGCTACCATAAGCAGGTAACCAATCTACACCACTCCAGAAATACATTGTAATACGTGTTACATTTGTAAATTAAGTCTTTTGGCACCCCCACCCCACCCCACACACACCCCAACCTCGGGTATTCTCTTTGACTGAATCTTGATTTACTATCCAAAGAAAGAAAGAAAGAAAGAACTTATCCTGTTTTTATTACTTGTTCTTTTAGAGAACATCTGAGAAATACTCCAGTACAACAAGGGCTGAACTCAAAGGGGGGTGAGTTATTAACTTCTCAACCTCTCAATATTGCATTTACTTTGAGAATAAAGGATTTTTTTTGTTCATGACTTACTTTAACCTCTCTAATTGCTGTTGGACTTCAAATTCAGGAACCTACGAACAGGTTTCAGAGATCATCTCAAGTCAGAAGGAATTTACATGGTTAACCCTTTAGCTGACAAGACAAACTTTACAAAGTCTGCAGCACCGTTGAAATTACTGTCTGTAGATGGTTTGAAAAAGGCATTAAGGTTTGTTCAAAATATTTAGTAGTGACAGCTCTAATTTTAAAAATTATTGACTTGCATATTAGTTATCTTCATTGTTAATAGTCATTACTTGACACTTATTTATGATCAGCAATGCAGGGAAAGTGACCACCAATATACATTCTCAAGGAATAAGGTTTCTTAGTCAAATGACCGGTAAAAACTTTAGTACTTGTACCTGAGTACTCCTACATCTAGCAGTTATTTTTAATAGTAGTATTTTTGCTCATTACTATTCTATTCAGTTACAGGAAAATTGAACTCAAATAATACCAAAGAATCTATTACTGACCGAGATCAAACAAGAAATAGGACAAACGAAAGGTGAAAGAGATGGAATAAAGAAGAGTTTATTTTTTGACCTTATGTTATGTTATGTATTTTGGTGACAGAGTTATCTACTTTTTTCCAGGTCATCTTCCACCAAGAGAAAGAATCTAAGTGAAATCAGATCAAGTCATAGTTTTGAGCACAAGAAACCAAAAGTGGGGCAGCAGCAGCAGCAGAATAATTCAGGACAAAAACCTGTGCAGGTTAAAGAAAAAATGATAGAACTAGACCTTGTCAGTTCAGATGATGAACTTTAGAGTTTACCATATAATATGCTAAGTGTTTGTAATCATCTGATGTCCTGTTGTCTAATACGGAGTATATTCTTTTTCCTCTTTCATACAGTAATTTCTTAGCTTGTTGAAAAAGAACTTTTACTCTTGTTACAATGGTGCTATAACTTGCACACCTAATTGCAGGTGACTAATAGCTGTTTAACCAAGCTTCTCCAAATCCAAAATCATTTTTTTTGTAAGTGTATTTTTTTCAAAGTTAGAAGTTTTAGCCAAAGCTTTTATGTTTAGAATAAGGGTGGCAAGTGGGCCGGGCCCGGTCCTA